GTATGGTTGTTCGACGAACCGACCAACATCTCGCTTTGGCAGCAACTTTGGGGCACCTGGTATCTTATCGACCCTTTCTTGATGCTCCCTCATCTGATCGCGGAGCGTCTTGTTTTCGTTTTTCATTTCTTCCATTTTTTTTAATATGGCTGCAAGTGCGTCGTTATCTGCATCAATAGTGGTGTAAGTGATACCTGTTTGAGGTGCGGGCTGTTCACTAGTGGTTATTGTGGTATCTACTTGCGCGGTGTTTCTGTTCTCCCTTTGAACGGGTCTATCGAGTATATTGTTTAGGGTGCTTGTCAACCACTCTTCCAGTAATTTTTTCACTGCTGGTGGTGCTTCTTCAGCTGGGGATGTGGAGGCTCCCCTTTCGCGCGAAGCTGTTACGCTTTCGTGAAGGGGTGGGGGTGAAGCACTTCGCCTGGGCGTGGCGTTTGGCGTCACGTTCTCGTTGTCTCCTCTACCATCTTCATTGATGGTGTTCAGAATGTTGGTAGTGACACCAGCTATTGCTTTCAGTCCTGCATCTCCTTTTCCTGCCATCGTTAGTTTGTGCAAACGGAGAAAAGATGGTTGTCTTTCTCCTCTTTTTTTGACCTAGAAAGAACTATATATTCAACTAAAAACTCCCCACAGACGGCGCCAAATTGTTTGAGCAAATAAATGCTAAACCAATTAATGATAAGTTTAAAGGGGTAAATCTTAGTTGTATCTAATAAATTCTAGATCAAACAAAACAAAGCTCTTGTATAACGGATAGATTTCAAGAACATTAAACAGTAGAGTTAATTTGCTATGACTGATAGTGCATGTAATAGCATAAATGTATAATAAATATAAATAAGGACAAAGATGATAGTGGGAAAGGAACTATCACCCAATGACTATATGATTGGGAGATTCCTTTCTTCTGAAGACGACGTGGAAAGGAGAGCAATTGGAATATATATGGGATTTCGAGATTTATGGATAGAGATTGAACAACATGTGCTTGAATAAATGAATAAGACAACTCTCCTGTATATTCTTCTTTCAACTTTTACAATATGTTCTAGTTCCAAAAAAGGCAGATCCTTTTTTGTTCCCTATCTCTTCCTATTTATAAGGGACATTCAGCAAAAACCCTAAAAAGTACAACATAAAGAATATCCTAAGGAATATTCTTTATGCCCACTTCTAAACTTAAGTTACCGTTACTATCACATCTCAGCTGCCCGCTTCTGGCGTCGGCCTTTGTGAGGACAATCTTCAATCGTTGTGTCGTGGTCGACCCCTTCTTTGGTCTTATCCTTTACGGTTATTATCAAATTTGGACCTATACAATCTACCTATTCGATCAAACGACAAGGTTCTTTGAATTATGATTTGCCCATTCTTTTTCACTCTTATATTTTTTTAGCGGAAACAACCTCTCTACTCCTTTGGAGTAGGGATAAGGTCTACGTACACACTATCCTCCCCAAACCCAACTTATGTAATTTCACTGGACTGTTATTGTTGTTTTTCTTATATTTTTCTCTAAACTCTCACTTCAAGTAAAATATGTATGAATTTTACTAAATAGATTTAAAACGTCTTATTAAGGGTTTGACTTTACTCCAAATTTATTTAATCACATCTGATTGTAACAAGTAACCAGTTCATTTCACTAATTATAAATTATTTATAATTGTATAAACCAATTTAATATCTAAGGAGAAATTATTAGGGAGAGATCGAAGTATAGAGAAGATAAGAAAAAGTGTCCAAAAAGTGGGTTTGTATGGGGAGCATGACAGCCACGCGTTCTACGTACAACTTGTAGATACTATAGGCATCAAACCTATTACCTCAACGCAAACACAAATTTTACCACTGAAACATCACCCACTTATTTTCAATCCCCTCCACCTCATCTTCTACTTCTTCTTTCTTTGTTTAATCATTTCATCAAACAGCTCGCAAGCAAAGAAAGTTACAAAATTTAAAGGCCAAAATTGTAAGAAATGGCCCTGCAAACACCTACTAGAATTCCAGCTACTCCTTTAGCCCCAAATGGTGGCAACAGTGGTCTTCGGCAGCCACCAAATCGTTTAGCTCTGAAATCTTCATTCTTTTCTCCATCTGTTCATCTATTGCTCCCACCTCCACCATCGTCTCGTGCTGCTCCGGCTACTGCCCCTAAGTTTTCTATGCGTGTTGCCTCCAAGCAGGCTTATATTTGCCGTGATTGCGGGTAATTTACTAATTAATCCCCCTCTGTTTTCTTTCTACTTCTTCTTGAGTTGTTGCCAATAGAGATGAAATTAGGATTTAGAGTTTGAATTCAAAGGTGTAGTGAGGATTTGAAATTTATGGGTTTTGAATTAATTACTGGAATTGTCCGAACTAGTAGCTGGCATTGTAGCTCCGCCCCTGAGTGAATTTGATGTTAAAGTAAAAATATTGAACTCAAAAAACTGCTCAAAAGAATCCTGCTTTATGCTTTTCATGGCATAATAGTAGTACTAATCTATGTTTTGGGATGAATATGGTGCAGGTACATTTACAATGACAGGACTCCTTTCGAGAAACAACCTGACAAATACTTCTGTCCTGGTAAATACTCTTTTATATCATTGCATCTAACCTTATAGTAACTTCACTGTATAAATCCTGCATCTCCTGCCATTATCGTTCTTTGTGATTGTTGAAAAATACTTAGGAAGCAGTCTCCATGGTAACAATTAGCTAGCAATATCTTGTGGTTTCTTTTCGATTGAAATCAAAGTGAAATCTTATCCTCATTAGCGATACTATAGAGAATATGTTACTACACTAATTTGGCTTTGTGGCCAACGAAATTTTCTATGAAAGATGATCTCATACTTAAATAAGATAGGAGTAGTATTTATTTGGAGTATAGACAACATAATGCGAAGGTTCAACATCGATAAACTAAGAATTTGATAAGTCTAGCTGTGATACCATACAAAGAAGGGGACCTTATTATTCCTATAATTACCGAGATCAAATATATTTTGAAAGGTATAACTCTTAAAAGAGGAAGCCGAGCTACAAGAAAAATTCTCACGGCTACCATGGTAGAATACACTTCAACACAAGAGAAGAGAATTCAAATTCAAAAGTTAGCTCATCAGGTGAGAATTTTTCAAAATCATATGAGGAAACCACCAGACCCCTCCACAACCAATATACGACTCTAATACTGCAAAGTTCATGTTTTACTAATTACTATAATGAGTTGAGTGTATTCAAAAACGATAGAACTAGATATGAAAAAAAAGTTGCGGAATCAATCCTTCTAAAAAAAAAATTGGGGAAACGTCTTCATAGTTTTTAAAATAGGAAATAGATAAAATGAAAAGTCTAAAAAGACAAAATGAAAATACTGATAGTGGAAACTAGGAAAAGGAAAAAGAAAAAAGTCCAAATGGGAAGGAATACCTGTTAGCTCAACACTTTGTGACCTATCCATTATCCAGATGCAAACTTTTAAAAGTTCACCAATTTACTTATTTCAATCTTCTAGTTCCTCTTATAGGGACTTCCCTTTGTATCTTTTTTTCTTCTTATTTTGTGGAGTGTGACATCTTCTGTATGTGTTACAAGTTACAACTATACAGTAATAACCGTACCTAAATTCCCTGGGTTCATTTGTGATTTGCAGTATGTGGAGCTCCTAAAAGAAGATTCAGGCCATATGTACCTAAAGTAACCAAAGATGCTAATTCCACAGAGGTTCGTAAGGCCAGGAAAGAACAGTTAAAAAGAGATGAGGCTATTGGGTAAGTTCTTTTCTTCAAATTTTCACCTCTTCTCTTTTATCAGCTGTGGGGCTACGGTACAGTTGTCTCCCTGACCTATAGGTCATGGGTTCAAGCCGTGAAAGCGGCAACTAATGCTTGCATTAGGTTAAACTGTCTATATCATAACCCCTCGGGGTGTAGCCCTTTCCTTCGTAACAGGATGCTTTGTGCACCAGAGTGTCCTTTTTTATCAGTTTCCGTTCCTCATTTGAACACAAATCAACATAATCCATGGTGATCTTTTCGCGTTGTAGGAATGCACTGCCTATTGCCGTTGGAGTTGGAGTTGTTGCACTTGCTGCTTTATACTTCTACATCAACAACAGTTCCTAGATTGAATTGGAGAAAAAATGTCATCTGGAAAATATCATCTTCAGATTATCAGAGATCTAGGAGATTGTTAATTTTGTATTGAAGTTATACATACAATTGTTTATTCTATCCATTCATTCTCTAAATTCCACTTTTATAGAGATGGGAATATGTAATTTCTAATTCGTCGACCTACATGCAGAATTCCACTATTAATCGTAAATGTGAAAGGCCAATTCCTCTATTATTTTCACAACATTTTCAATCTAGCTTCCAACAAACACTTCGATCAATTTCTAACGCATTCTCATGGCCAGAAATGAAATTTTTTATGTGCAATAGCTGAAAATCTGAAGAGAGTAAATTATTGTAGACATAATATTAATAAGATAAGATGTATATATGGTGGGAATATAAAACAAAAAACATTAAGAGTCAGTCTTGAATGACAAACGGACTCCTCCGCTTGTTGAGAAGCAAAGTCACACATTCATTATCTAGTGCATTTATAAATCTTGTACGTTTTGTTATGGAGGAAAATGCTTTTCTTATCTTTTTCTAGCGTTTTGAAGAGTAATAGACTGAATGACATATAATACTTACATAAGACGTAAAACATGGTATGAGTACATCTAAAATGTTGATTGAATTATATGAGATGAAATAAGAATTTTTGTTATTTGTGAAGGAAAATAATTTTTGCCTACCAATTGGGTAGATTTTAAGAGGACCAATTTTTTTGTTTAAGGAAAAATACTTTGTATCATACCAAACACTTAGCAATTGTTTTTCGCATTGCTGGGACGTTTATTAAGTGTGTTTAAGCTACTTTGATCAGCTTTTAAGCCAATTCAAAAAATCCCTATGTCAAAAATGGTAGGTCAAGTAAAAGTAAGATTGAAGTAAAAGCAAAAAATAAGTATTGCATGAAAAGTTGACCAATTTATGAGGTCTAAGAACAACATCAAGAATGAATTATTTGATACATAAAAATGCAACAAGAATTAGCGCAGCAAAGAAACATCCATAGCTGCTCCCATGAGTCTACCCATTGAAACATCATCACTAACAAAACTATCGATCTCTTGTTCTTCGGCCTCTTTAAAACAGTATACAGGGGCTTGCCAATTCGGATCCTCCAGCACTTTTCCTACTTCAAAAGTCATTACATGCGCAATCATACCTGCACCAACCCAAATTTATGATACCAAATTTAATTTATTATAATACAGTATAATAACATCGTTTGTCCGGAAAAAATTTGCTGCTACATAGAAATGCTATTGTACAGAACAACAAACAACAACAACGACCCAGTAAAGTCCCACTAAGTGGGGTCTGGGGAGGGTAGTGTGTACGCAGACCTTACCCCTACCCCGATGGGGCAGAGAGGTTGTTTCCGATAGACCCTCGGCTTAGAAAAAATAAAACAAGAAAACAAGAAAAGACAATTCATCAGTAACGTCAACATAGCCATAAAAATAATGACAGCATCCTAAAAACCATAAAATAGATGACAAGCAATAACCATAACCCACAACTAAGGACTAGATCTATGGGAAACAGCAAGGTTGGTGTGAACTCTACATTAACCACAAGCCTGCCTAGGACCAACCCACTCAAACTCGCTTCCCCTCCCCCCCCCCCCCCCCCCCGGAATGGAGGGGGGAAACTCGACTACCCCCTATCCTACAACCCTAATGCTCGACCTCCAAACCTTCCTATCAAAGGCCATGTCCTCGGAAATCTGCAATCTCGCCAGGTCCTGCCTGATCACCTCTCCCCAACACTTCTTAGGTCGTCCTCTACCTCATCTCGAACCCATTAAAGCCAGCAGCTCACACCTCCTCACCGGAGCATCCAGGCTTCTCCTCCGCACGTGCCCGAACCATCTGAGCCGCGCTTCCCGCATCTTGTCATCCACAGAGGCCACACCCACCTTCTCCCGAATATCGTCATTCCTGATCTTATCTAACCTAGTGTGCCCGCACATCCACCTCAGCATCCTCATCTCAGCTACCTTCATCTTCAGGATATGAGAGTTCTTAACTGACCAGCACTCTGCCCCATACAACATGGCCGGTCTAACCACCGCCCTATAAAACTTACCTTTGAGTATCAGTGGTACTTTCTTGTCACATAAGACTCCAGATGCTAGCCTCCATTTCGTCCACCCCACTCCTATGCGGTGAGTGACGTCCTCGTCAATCTCTCCATCCCCTTGAATAACCGACCCAAGGTACTTGAAACTACTTCTCTTGGGGATGACCTGTGATCCAAGCCTCACATCCATGCCTTCTTCCCTCGACTCGGCGCTGAACTTGCACTCCAGGTACTCTGTCTTAGTCCTGCTCAGTTTGAAACCCTTAGACTCGAGAGTCTGCCTCCAAACCTCCAACCTCTCATTAACACCGTCCCGCGTCTCATCAATCAGTACTATGTCATCAGCGAATAACATACACCATGGCACTTCCCCTTGAATATGGTGTGTTAGTGCATCCATCACTAAGGCAAATAAGAACGGGCTAAGCGCTGATCCTTGGTGCAACCCCATAACAACCGGGAAATACTCCGAGTCGCCTCCCACCATCCTTACCCTAGTCTTAGCTCCATCATACATGTCCTTGATCGCTCTAACATAAGCTACCGGCACACCTTTTACCTCCATACATCTCCATGGCACCTCCCTAGGGACCTTGTCATACGCTTTCTCCAAGTCAATAAACACCATGTGCAGAAAATGCTATTATACAGAACATATAATTAAATATATAATATAAAAAATCAGTTCCAAAGAAAATTTGACCATTATAGTAAAACGTTGTTATAGAGGATGACTATTATAGAGAAGTCTGACAGTAGTAACGTCACACAATTACTTTTTAACATTAATATAATTACCTAAGTGACGTGTTGAGACTATTTTTTCGTCACGCTAAAATAATTGAATTTTACGTATATAACAGGAAAGTTAACTAAATTTCACCCACTATAATGATAAAATCTTCCCATTAAGATGACCTCACTGATATAGTAAGTACAGCTTTATGACTTCAATTCAATTATTTTAACATGGCAAAAACTATTAACTTTAGTGTTAGTATACAATTCGGTGACAAAAATCGTGAAATTAACCAGACGGTTCGAACACAGTCAGTTCAAATTGTGCTCTATAACCTAAATTTCAAAACAATACAGCAATAATTAATAATCAAATCAGAAAATGCAACCTTAATTTAAGCATTTACCTGTGAAGAAAGCCCAGTAAACAGGTCTCTTAGTAACAACATCCTCATAATACCAAATGAAATCAACTTTTTCCCACACATTGCAAAGAAACCCATCCATATATCTCTGTCCCAAATACTTTCCGCCTTGTAGCCAATTAGGCCGAAGAATTCCCACTGGAAAATGCATAACCCTACACTCCTTGTTAGCGTCCAAAGTGTAGTAATAAGAAGTGCCATTATCCCATTCCAAATCGTAAAGACGCTTTCCCAATTGGTTTTGAATTATGTTGAAGTTCCTACCATTGGGATAATCGTACCACAAATCAACAACCTGAAGGTTCCCTTTGGTGTTATTCATGAAGAGGATCGAGTGGAATTGTTTTGGCCATGGGGTAGGAATTGGGTCGCTCGATTTTGAAGCATTGATTAAAGTGAAGCAGCAAAAAGAAGATGCTGTTAGAAGGAGGAGGAGAGCGGAAATTTTAATGGGTTTGCCTAAAATCAACATTTTTTATTTCTCTTACCGGAAAGGCACTGATAGAGTAGTAGTTTCCCTTTTGGTTGCCTTTAACTTTGTTGAGTCCAATATCAAGAAAGAAGCAAGGACAGAGAAGCAGAACACGTGGAGAGATTTCTGTTGGGTAAGGGAGAGCAGTACATAGATAAGGTAGCAATAATAACTAGGGTAAAAAAAGGAAAATCACAATTATAATTATGTAGCCGTTTACTCCATTTCTATGCCAAGCCGAAAAGAAAAATATACTTTTGTAATTTTGGAAAAGCAAAAAAAAAATTAGCTTCTTTCCAAAAGCATTTTTTTGAGAGACACTTTTGAGAAAAATACGCTTAAAAATACTTTTTTAAAAACTTGGTCAAACACTAATTATGTTTATAAGTATTTTTTAAATTAATTAGTCAAACACAAACTGATTTTATCAAAAGTACTTTTGAAAAAAAAATTTATCAAAATAAGCTGATCAGTTAGTACAAACAGGCTATAAGTCCTTTTTTTAATCCCGTCTTTGTCCACGTCTGTTTCTTAGTTATTCAAAAAAAAATTTGAGATAATGAGCACTAAAATAAAAGGCAGGGAAAAATGGAATAGTCCTAGAGCGTATCCTCCAAATTTTTAAAGATTATTTAGGTCGTGCAATCTTTTCAAAAGCCAACGTCCAAATCACATCGAAAACCATTCCAAAAGAAGAAGAATGCTCTCCAATTTCTTTTATTGGAACATAAACAAAAAAGTAATCGAGGTCAACACACACAGCATCTATCAGCACATTACTGAGGCCTTATTGCAACAGATATAAGATGCTATATATATTCATACACATGCATAGAAATTAATCAAGTTCCTTTACAAAACTATAGATTAGATGTTCTTTGACACCTCCCAGCAGAAAAAGGGATCTACTGATTTCCAGCAATAGGCGCATCTCGACCTCTCTTGATATCATCCCATCCTCTAACCCAAGGTTTTCCTGGAACAGCCCGAGTCTCAGGAGAAGCATGCTTGTCAAGGTTGTTCATAACCTTTTCACGCACAGCAGAAAACACCTACAGCCCAAGTACCGATCAGATTAAATAAACATCCAAACAAAACCAATCAGATAAAGCAGCAATTCTATATTGGTTCAGGGCTCACTGGATTAGTGCTTATTGCATCTGGGGGTTGCTCCTGACCAGTCAGCCACTTCCACAAATCCGGATTCTCCTACAGGCATAAATAGAATAAACTGAATAAGACAGCTCAAGTTCATCATCACAACGGAGAAATTTGCTTGCTACAATCATTCTACTGCATGTTAGCTGTGTTTCTTTTTTTTTTTTAGGGCGGTGTGGGGGGGGGTGGGGGGGNCGAGTCAATGTGGTGCATATATCCTATGCTCCCTGAATAACATACAGGAAACCAGCAGAACTTCACAGCACTGCTCACACTATTTGATCTTTGAGCTGTAGACCCACTACTAACTCAATGTGGTCCCCATCCAACCTTCCAACTTCTCCCTATATATGCTTTTTTCCCTTCCTCCACTTTGAACGCCTTAATTTTACACTCCATAACTTTTTGTTTTCCCGTTCCTAGCATATTTGCGAGTTCTCCAAGCGAAGCAATCTGAATTTGGGAGGGCGGTCTGAGTATGAACACAAAAGAGGGGAATACTCATATGGTGCCTTGTTTTCCTTAGTAAGTAATAATAATTAAAAATATTAAGCCCAATACTGACATAGCACTAAAGGTACCAGAATATTGGGCTCGTAGCATTGAATGTCATTTAGATGAGGTATCATGAATCAATTCAGATCAAATTAAACATTGGTCTCTAGGTCTGGCTTAAAACATCAACTCCCAGTACTGAAAATATTCATACATATGAAGTACATGGCATAATAATTTATACAGGGCAGAGCTGGCTGTCAAATTAAAGCACCAAGAAGCAAGACACCCAAAGTTAGCCCAAGGCATTAGCTCAATAGTCAAGGATTTAAAGGCCCTCAGCATAACCATGCTCCTCTCAATCCCCAAAGCCAAGTTTACCACTCCCCCACCCCACCCCACTCCAACCCCCCACACCACTCAAAAACGAAAAACTGAAAACCGGGACGGAGTCCGGTACCCACTAGGAACCAAAAGTACGATAGCACAACCCTGAAAAACTCGACCT